TCTGTGAGGCTGCACAGATTTGAATATTTTTGACATAGCAGGAATCAACCCGGCCCATTAAAATGTATGAGATGCTTTTCAAACAATGCAGGCCTGCACTTTCTAAAACAAATCTTCTGATTTTTTTAAATGGCTGGAAAGAGTTGAATGTGGTTAGGCTCAATTCACAAATTTAGGGGGTAAATAAAGACCATCCAAGCGATTGCTGCGAACATTGTGCCAATACAGTGGTTACCCTGTTCCAGAATGTTCCGGGTCAGACTGATGGGAACCAGAAGGGCGTCTCCGGAAGGACAGACCGCCCATGCAGCCTGGGCATGATGTGGGTCCCGCGCACAGGGCGCACACGCACAGGGCACGCGCACAGGGCACACACACATAGGGCACACACACATAGGGCACACACACATAGGGCACACACACATACTGTAGGGCACGCACACATAGGGCACACACACATAGGGCACACACACATAGGGCACACACACATACTGTAGGGCACGCACACATAGGGCACGCGCACATAGGGCACGCGCACATAGGGCACACACACATAGGGCACGCGCACGCACACACTGGAGGAAATTTAGAAACACCAGTTAGCCTAAATACATGTCTGTGGACCTCAGGAGAAATGCACACTGATAATGTTCACTCTCATTGCACTTTATCAGTCTCTTATCAGTTTTGTATTGTTTTGCATTGTCTTTGGTTTCTTTGTAACAGAGTGTGGCAGACATTCTAATGCTGTGGTGTTGCTAGAGATGTTGGGCCCCCAACTCAGGCCAATTGAATTATGTAAAAAATTTTTAGGGCTCATATCACTCTGCAGCCCTTGAAATTGCCCCCCCCCCACAGCTCTGGTCCAATGTGCCTGTTGACCGTGGTCAATAAAGTTTGAATCTTGTGAAAACTTGCCTGACATGGGAAGAACATGCAAACTCCACACACATGGTGGTGGAGGGATTTGAACCCGCAACTCTGAAGATGCCAAGCAACTGCACTGTCCACTGAGGCACATGCCAGCAAACTGCCATCCCTCTGCTTATGAAGACCATGAAATATCCGACGAGAATTTGTCACTGTGGACAGGAAACATTCTGTCAAGTGGGAAAGGATCAGAAAGCTTGAAAGATGGGTGGGCTCTTCCCCATCATACAGAAACATGTCAGATAAGCAGGCAGTGACTCCCCGTGACTCCCCCCTCACCCCCCCAGACCAGGGTCTCAGAGGCTGATTTCATCACCTTCCTTCGGTGTCTGAGACATGTTGTAGCAGAGTAGACATGAAAGATCAGGCAGCTGTGTCTGTCAAACCTTGGCTGTCGGTATTTAAAAATTAATGCATTCATATACATACGTGAATCATCATCACTGTACACAGAATACACTGTGATTTAAGTATACCAGATTCACACAAGCAGGAAGCCTATTTAACACACATTGCCCTACAGACAGATGGACAGACAGATGAAAAGAAGGATCTCACCTGGAAGCAGCCAGGAAACACTACAAATGTTGTACCTTTGGTCACTGGCGTGCACAGATAGAGACGAGGTGGTGCTGAAGCACTTGCCCTTTTGCCCTCAGTCCAAAAAAGTGCCCTTTTGAAAGACGTGATTTTTTTTTTTTTTTTTAAAGCTGCGCGATTTAAAAAGGTGTGAAAATAATGGCTTGATTTGTGCCCCTTCTTCAAAGACACCCGAACCCTGTCGCTTTTTCACTGTCACCGTGTCACGTGAACACGCTTGCAGTTCATTTGTTGTGAGGCGTGTAGCAGCGGCATGACATAGGACTACTTGGAGTAGGCATAGTAGGCTAACTATAGCGACTGGGAGCCACGGCGGACAACACGGCAGCTCTTTCCCTTCCCAACCAGTCAGGTAACCCATGAATCGAGTGAAATTATTCTGTTTGCCCTCTAAGACCAACCTGCAATTGTTTTGTTGTGAAGTAGCCTGTCAGAAACTGCACATGACAAACTTTGCCAGCTTGCCCCCTCCATCCATCCATATGGATAAACAAAAAAACGACACATTTAAAATGTAACCTAAACCATTTAGGCAACCCCACTCTCCATCAATTCCGACCTTTTTGCATACACTATTGAAAATATCACGTTATGCTATAGGCTACATGCCGTTAGGCAGAGGGCTCTTTTGAGCCCATTTTTCGTTACAAATTTTAGGATGATCTCACGGAAATCTGTGAATAAATACAAAGTTTTCAAACTGAAGTCAGTGACGGGAAGACATCACACTTTTTAGAGATGGAACTGCAGAAAAACCTAAAACCTTGACATGATTATGAATAATAGAATTATGGACGTTTCTCCGTTTTTGTGGATTAGCCTTTCCATAACTAACGTCAACTACTGTCCTACTTTGGTAAGATTGAAATTAATGTCTTTGACTGTCTTTAGTAGGTGTCTCCTGTGAGAAAGTTAGAACACCATCCAACTGTCTAAAGATGCAGTCTTTAGCCTAACTGGTTGTTACTGACTCAGCGATGCTCGCAGACATTTACGCACTGTGTTGTGACCTGATTGTGACAGAACAGTGACGTTGTTATTGGTAGTTTGAAGGGTACGGTGTTGGGGGTGCATGTTAAAAGATTTGAGAAGCACTGGTTAGACATGTTAATTTTTTTTGGTGTAACATATTGGCAACATTAACACATTAATTTGCTAAAGGAAAAATAGGCAGTTCCCAATTGCCTGTGAAAACGACCACAGTCAGTCTTATTCGTTCTCATACATTTTGGTCTATTTTTAGAGAATGTTTTGAAATAAAAGTCAAATTGCATTTAACCTGTGCGTTTTTTTTATTATAAAAAGAAAAGGTTTTCCACATATGCAAAAAGTGCCCTTTTTTCCCCCTGGAGCACTTGCCCCCCAAAATGTCTGTGCACGCCACTGCCTTTGGTCATACATGGAAGGTTTAGCACATGAATTACGAAGGTAAAGACCCTGGAGAGCAGAAGTACTTGGGTTTGCTCCCTCAGAGTGACTCTGCTGCCCCCAGGTCAGTCCTCCAGCTTCAAAGCCACCTGACCAGCTTAGCACTCAGCAGACGCACATGGGAGATGGGATCTGCACACCTGAGCTGCATCTGCTCCGGTTTCCTGGAAAAATCACACTCAGCGGCACTTCACAGGGTAATTAAAGGCTGTGACAGCACAACACAGCTACTAAATTACAATTAACTTGGTCAAATCTATGAATAAATCATGCAATTAATTATGTAGAACTGTGGAAAAGGGGATATGAGCAAACAGAATTATGCAGTAATAAAATGTTTGGTTCTTGAGGACCTGCACTACAGATTCTAAACGCTTGATTTGTATTTTTTAACTAATGACTCTACAGAGTATTGCTGAGTAAGATAGCAAGCCGGAATGATAACGTACAGAGCCATTAGACATGGATGCATTGGGCCATAGTGATCTGAGGAAACATCTACTTGAATGGTAAAGATGATGGAGATAATGAGCGGAGCAGTAGGTGACCTGTGGGTGGGAATATATACCACTGCCTGCTGGGGCAGCTCCTACTCCACGTCTCTCTCATGTAAACCAAGTTCAGCAGATCATTCGCATCCAGCGGCAGTGCTGTAAACAGAGGAGGGGGTAGCAGCAGCGTCCGAAGCCTTAGTGCCGGGGGGGGGGGGGCAGAGGTACCTGGACGGCTGCCTGACGTGTCGGGACTGTAGGTAGCAAAGACACCTCTCAGTACTGGCTGCCAGTCACTGGCCAGCTACAGAGGAGTAGACCTGCAGTTCAGAAGCTTAGAAGATCGTGTCCACTGCTGCCAAGGGTGTAGTTCCCTCACAGGTCTGCCCCCCCCCCCTTCCCACCCCTGCAAGGATCTCTCTGTCCATGGTAGGAGCCAGGCAGCTCCTACAGGGGGGGGGGGCATACAAGACAAAGGAACAGGGGTGTTGGTCATTAGCTAATCTAGGTGGCTGAGCATTAGCCACAAACAAAGGGGGCCGAGCTGCGTTATTACAGAAAAACAAACACATGATACGGCAAACTATTCTTTAAGTACAAAAACTGGAAACCAGCCAAAGGAAATGCGGCAAAATCAAAATCCAAAACACTACAGTACATGTGTCAGTAGGACAGGACACTGGCGTTAAGCCGGGCGGCTGTGCTGTGTGCAGCGGTGCGTTCGCAGCTGATCAGCAACATACACAAGCTCAGTAAGAATTTCTTTACTCAACACTTTCTGTCTCTAACTAGGCAGAAATGGTGGCGGAAGTGGGGACTTAGATTGGAAAATAACAAGCTGCAGAATAATTACTCAATGCCTGGTAAGAGCGTACCCAGAGCAGTCATGTGAAAATGCTCCTCTTTGTATCACAGAGAGACGCAGACGGATACACGGCTTTCCATGCCACTGCACCAGTGACTGGGGCACCATCCTCATCTGTTCCCTGGTGGATTCCACTGGTTGCTGTGGCAATAAGGCTAGAACAAAGGCCAGTGTGTGCGGGTCTGTGCTGGTGATGTCATATCGGCCACATGAGCAGCGCCCTTGCAGATGTGTGCAGACTGCGCATCCGTGCTCATGTTGCGCAAACACGCAGATGTTCTGGAGATGTACCCTGAGAATACTGCCCCCTTCCACATGACACAGGCACAACATTTGGAAATAAGGTTTTGACACTCACTCCAGTGACCACATCTCCCAGTGGACCAGCTGTGTTTTAGCCATTCTTTGTGTTTTTCTTTGAATATAATCAGTATGAAGCTGAGGTAATTGGCCAGGTCATACTGTAATAGCATAACCTAAAAACGTCCTTATATATAGAAAAACGCATACTGAAAAAATGTGTTGATAAAAAGGTGAGATTTACATTACAGGAAAAGGTCTGAATAAAAGATTAATGATACAGAACAAAAAAAGCTAACAGTATTAATAATATAACATGAATACAGATCTTTTAATAGTCAGATGTAAAAGCTTTTTGACTGAAATGAATGAGCTGCTTTTTCTAGTCATTTTTGTCATTTTTTTCCTTTATTAACGTTATATTTCTTGACTAAAAGGAGCCATCGTCTGTGTGAAACAACCAAGGTGTCCGTAACACTTCTCCGCTACTAAATACAGCCAAAGGTCCCAGTGAATGAAACAGTCACACAGCAGGGAAGCAGAGGAGCGGATTCAGAGAATCGTCCTTATCAAACGAGACCATACAGCACAAACAGACCATTTCAATATATTACTTTCTATTCAATGGAATGACTTCTATGTTTTTCTTTTTAACTAAACAAGGAGATCAAAGTGGAGCAAAATCAGCAAGATCATTAGAATGTCTGTGGGGATAAACTGATCCGCAGTGAAAAGTAACGTAGGTTAAAACACATGGAATATTGTATTTTCGAGATGACAAAATGGCATCCATTACCACGATAAAATACATACACTGTGTGCTATAATTATTACAGTACGGTGAGTACAATATCACATCATCACAGCAAATGGCATTGGCAGGAAGCAGGGCTAGATGGGCCAATCGGCATCCTGGGTACCATTTCCTGGGGGGGTTGGCAAAATTTATTGTCACTGCCCCCCATCTACTCGTCAAAATTTACTGTGGGGAAATGAGGGACCCCAAAGTCTAGGGCTAAAATTTAACCCCAGATCAACCCTGGCAGGAACGAGAAAAAGTGGCAGCCGATTTCTGGTAACAAACATATGTATTTGGGTTCGGTTTTTTTTCTGCCTATAAAGAGAGATGAACAGTCCTACAGTGAAGTGGGTACGTGCGGCGCGAGCGGCTGCCAGCCTCAGCAGCGTGTGCCCACGGGGGCGTAGCTGGACGCCTCGCGCCGGATGGTGCTGAACGGCGACAGCTCCAGCTCGGCGGTGCACTCCCGCTCGCCATCGTCGCTGGCGGCGGTCGAGGAGCGGGCGCGGCCGCACTCGGCGCAGCAGCAGCAGCAGCAGTCGAGGAAGGCGCGCCCGAACGGCCGGCACAGGAGCAGCAGCAGCGCCGGCGTCGCCGCCGACTTGCAGAAGAGCAGCAGCTGGCCGAGCAGCTGCAGCACCTCCATGGAGCGCCGGGGCACGCCCGCCGCCATGTAGGCCGACACGATGTTGCAGATGTTCTCCGGCACGATGCACAGGCCGTAGAGGATGGCCAGCGCCACCACCGTGCAGTTCATCTGGCTCTCCAGACGGATCTGCTTCTTGGTCCCGCGCACACACGCCCGCTCTGCGCGCTGGATCTTGCGCGCCGTGGCCAAGGAGCAGACGATGGTGAAGAGGGTGGGCAAGCAGAAGTAGCAGCCGAAGTACCACCAGAGGCGCGCCCCCTCGTAGGTGAGGCCCAGCACGTAGACGGCGTCCGGCAGCTCGGTGGAGATGCGAGCCACGCAGCGCTCGGCCGCCGGTGGGGCCGGTGGGGCCGCCGGCTCGCCAACCTCCTCCTCCCGCTCTAGCTGGCGCAGCAGCAGCTCGGGCAGCGCCAGCAGCAGCGCCCCGACCCAGATCACGGCCAGCTTGGCCGAGGTGGAGGCGCAGTTCTCCATCATCTCATAGTACATCTGCACGTTGGTGGCGGCGCGGTAGCGGTCGATGCAGAGCGCGCAGAGTGTGAAGGTGGTCACACCCAGGGAGGCCACCTGCAAGCGGGTGAGAGCACGACCCTAAGGCACAGCGACCAAGTAGAGGAAAACCCAGAAAGCACTGAGAGATAAACTAGTCAGAAAACTGGCGGCAGATCTATGACCTGCTGGATCTACGTTATCCAACAATATGCAAATGCACTCATTCATAAATGGGTTGAAATGTAAAAAGAACGTTTACAGTCTGGTACTGAATGTGCCCATTTCACATGATATTTGTGTCCTGACCCAGGAATTTCAGAAGCAATTATGCAAAGCTGCAGGTTTAAAGGCTTCTTAGAATTCCATGTCAAAAGAATAAAGGCATTTCTGGTGCGTTAATTTCTGTAACATTTTCAGAAACGTGCTTGTGTCTGGGGGCCACCAACCAGTGCAACTGGGAAAACCAGACGGTTTAATTAGTTACAGGAGTAGTTTTTGTGCAGACATGATTTAAGAAGTGCTACATACAAGTAGCTGATGAATGGAGATAACATGTTCTAACAAGTTTAAGATTTCAGGTCACTCAGGAACACAAGGTACATGCTGACAATCTGAGAGCGGGCAGACATAGACTGACACAGACCACAAGAGAACTGATCACACACTGCAGCAGAAATACCAAATACCAAGACTACACAATAATAGAATGTAAATACATGACAAAGACATTACTACCCTCTCAAAGATTTTAAGGGTGATAATAGGTGAGGATTTCAACTTCTCAAACACCGGTAACTAAAAAAAAAAAGCAAAGTGTGTCTTAGGGAACTAATATATTGTATTCCATTTTTTCTAAAGGTGTCTTAGAGATTGCACTGGCAGGAGATATTTCATATTAATAAATGCCCTACAGCCCTGTAAAGTTACATGGCTTTGCTGCAAACACCTCTGAATGAAGCTACTGTCAATCCAAGACTTGCAACAATACATGCAAACATGCTGAGTATTTTATTGCCTCAATGAAGATGAGGTCAACACAGCAGTAAATGGTAACAGATGTGAACCGGAATCCTGGATCCGGACCAAATACAGACACGTCCCGTGAATCCCAGTCTGAGTGCAAACAGCTTGCAACAAAATGGCTGCCCGTGATATCAGACGTGGGGACTGATCATACGCCTGCAGTGGGGAGATGCAAAGTGGACGGATCGGCAGCGTGTACCTGAAAGCCAGCTGTTAAATACATTCCTTGGCATCGCAGGAAAGAAGCATTTCTGTAATGTGTGGTGTGACACCCCCCCCCCCATTCAGTTTTTACTTAAGCGCTGCCTAGCTGAGCGACGAGAGTCTTCATTAATGAGACTTTAATGGAGGGTGGGGGCTCCATAGCATCCATGCTGGATCTCCATTTGTCCCCCACTATTAATAAGTTACATTTTAATATGCACATAATTCTGCAATAAATAATTCAAAACATCCCTGATCCCTAAAGTTTGGTGTTGCTAATGATGCTGAGATCACTGCCCCCGCCCAGGGTAACTGTCTCACTGACCCCCCCTGCCCCCCAGCACCAGGAATGTCAGCCTGTCCAGTCTTGTGACTGAGAGGGGACTGCTCTCTTCCAGAGCAGAAACATCTGGATAACACCCAGTACTGCCTAGGAAGCTCCACAGATGATGCACAAAGTAGGTTACAGGTCTTCACAGGTTCTCCATACAGACCTCCTGCGATACAGGTCTTCACAGGTTCTCCATACAGACCTCCTGCGATACACAATGCATTCTAGATATTCTAATGATTTAAAACCACAAATAATTATTAACAATGCAATGTAAATACTGCAAGAATACTGGAGCGCAGACTTTGGAGAGTTTGGGTCCAGATCCACTCCATGCCAGTTAATATTGTGGAATCAAGACCAACAGCCAACCTGCTCACCTTGCATGGCCTTGCATGGCCTTGTGGGATAAAGTGAATGATGTCTAAGAAGCTTGCTTGTCAAAAAAGCACAAGAGTGTTTTATATACACCCTCCGTGTGGTAGCAGAAATACACCTTTTGATGATAGAAATTACATCTAAATCACAGGCACTTTGCAAACTTATTACGGCTGGCTGACTGTACGATAATGGACCGTGGTATGAAGAGGCTAGCACTGGGGAATTCACAAGGTCTGTGATTCAGCAGCTATAGACGTTGAGCAAAGCTCACATCTGAGGGCAAATGCACCAGTTTCATCCAAAGTTCTTTATCTGGGGAAGAAGATAGTTGGAGGTATTACTGTGTGCCATCAAACATGCCCAATGGCAATCAATCAAGGAACCACAGGAAAGACAGCTAAACCCGTCAGAGAATGTGGCTTCGAGGCTGCATTTCTGACACTGCACTACCTACAGGCAACCTGATAAAGACACACAAACTGCACCCAGCACCAGGCAGTGTGTTTCCAGAGGAACCAGAAGAAAGCCTCCTTATATAGAAGCCGTCCACCTGCGGCCCTCACGCGGCACAGGCGAGAGTCTGGGAAATAAACTTACATGGATTATTAGAAAACCTCCTGTGGAGGAGCCAAAGGCAATTTATTGTAATACTTTGCAAACATGAGCTAATGAGGTCTTGCCCTGAGGAAACGGAATTAAGCAGAGAAACCACTGCAGTGTTGGTGCAGTGAACAGACGAGCTGTTCATCTGGAGGTGCAGTGTACAGACGAGGTGTTCGTCTGGAGGTGCAGTGTACAGACGAGGTGTTCATCTGGAGGTGCAGTGTACAGACGAGCTGTTCGTCTGGAGGTGCAGTGTACAGACGAGATGTTCGTCTGGAGGTGCAGTGTACAGACGAGGTGTTCGTCTGGAGGTGCAGTGTACAGACGAGGTGTTCGTCTGGAGGTGCAGTGTACAGACGAGGTGTTCATCTGGAGGTGCAGTGTACAGACGAGGTGTTCGTCTGGAGGTGCAGTGTACAGACAAGGTGTTTGTCTGGAACAGGGGGTCTCCAGATATTTTTCCCCAATAGCCAAATTCCATCAGCAACACAAAGCCAAGGTCTGGGGAGGGGTGTCTACTGCATGGGCGCTGATGTCCCCGTGCCCTTGTCTCCCAAGCTGAGGTTCGAGTGATGCCACCACGGCTGGGCGAGGTGGCAGCGTTTTCCAAGCTTGGCCTCTTCCCCTCGCTGCATTCAGCACACACCAGTCACTACAGCCAGGGGCAATTCTAGGATTTTTTAAGGTGGTCAGCATAAGAGGAGGCATGATTCATACAGAGGGGGCAGCCTTATCATTACGTTTTGAATTAATGAGTGACAGAGGAAGGGGCACTCTGGGGGCCAATCAGCTTTTAGCTGGAGCCAGTGACCTCCTGGCCCCGCCCCTGTATACACATCTGACTATGGCTCACTATCCGAACCCCTTTTGGCACAGCTCACTAGGCCAGAACTCACATTCCCTCTATCATAGCCTGGCAAAAAAAAATTGCTTTAATTTGTCTTGCAGGCAACTGACTACAAATCACAATCCAGAGTATATTGGATGACCTGCATATTGGTGGTTGGATTATTTTATTAAATGCAAGTAGCGTGGAGATACAGCTGCACCTGGGCCGAGTGAAAGATCGGCTCTGGGCAGGACAAAGAACAATCCGTGTGAGACTAGGATAGGAGGAAGGAAGAGGGGCTTCATCTGGGCGAGGGCGGGGGGCGGGGGGGGGGTTTGACAAAATGGCCATGAGAAGCGATAACAAGAAACACCATTTTGAGAGGCACAGATAAACAAGGCAGGATGTTGGGTCGTGGCAGTGACAGACCAGGGCCTAAGAGGTGAAACCAAAGCCTGTGTCATATTATCGCTATTAAAGCACAGATAAACATGTGGCTTTGCCGCTCTTTAGTCATACGCAGCGTTATGGTACTACTGAGATACAGATGTGCTTAGTTTGTAAGAGAAGGCCTTTGTTACATACGTCAAGTTATGAGTCTACTGTTGAATGAGGGTTGGGCTGGAGGTCGCCACCCCAAAAGAACAGCCAAGGGCAAAGCTTTAGATAACAGGCTGGATGCCGGCTTTTCAGGACCTTTATAAATTCAGCATATCCTTATGTTTGCTAGATTCAGTTAGCGGAGCCACAAGCTACTATTTCTACTATCATGGAAGCGATAAGCACTGAAGTGGCGCTGAAAAAAGGGACAATTCAGCGGCCATGACATCTGTTAAAAGAAGAGATATTGTGGTCAAACAAGGTAAAAAGACGGCGTGGTGGTACGTTTTGCAGCTTAAAGACTGACACGTTTACTAAGCATAAGGATACGCCGAATTTATACGGATTAGGCCTACGAACTTTTGGTTTGCCCATTATCTATGGTGCTGCGAGGCGTGGTCACACACACACACACACACACACACACACACACACACACACACAGCAGCCAGTTAGCAGAGCAGCAGACGAACTGGCCAGGAGAACACAGAGCCCTCCTGCTACTGTCAGGATATCTGATGATATTTCATCTGTGTGAGGACCTTCTCGGGGTCATAACAAAACTCAAAATCAACTGTCAATCGAAGCCTTCCTCAGCACTGAAATAGCAGAAACCAGTCACGGTGATAGCATTCATCTTAGATGAATAGATTAGGTGAATAACTATTGGACACTTTTATCAAAAGCAACACAAAGCAAATTTCATATACTCCCTGGGATTCAAACCCATGACCATCGCATTGCTACCTACAACAGCTTACTTGTCAAGCTGCATCAGCCCCATCGGATCCAGCTCCTTCTCTAGGTACATAGCAGCTCAGACTGCGACACAGTGCATTCGGACCCCCCAGGACCCCCCAGCACGGCCATCACTCTGCGTCAGGATCCTCTTTTCTTTACGGACCCCACCCTCACTAATTCAGCACTGTCCACTGCTCCTTCACAACAAGCACATCTGTGAAATAGTTGTAGCTGGTGTTATTTTCATTGTTTTCAAATGAACTTTTAGAAACTTATTTTACGTAAATACTATACATTCCAGGTTGCACCAGACAAACGTTTATGTAATTTTACACTTGAGATACCATTTTAAGATAATGTCCTATGTTGCATTAACGCATGGATTCTTTATATACATTAAAACACATTTCAATACCTCGATATAGGGTACGATTTTGCAGGAGAACTCCCCAATGAGCCAGGTCTTCGTCAGTTCGTGGAATATAACGAGCGGCAAGCAGAAGAAGGTGACCATGAAATCCCACAAAGCAAGATTGGCTAAAAGGGAGTTGGAGATGCTTCTCATGTAGAAATTTTGACACACAATGCACGTAATTGCAATGTTGCCCAATATCCCAACAATGAAAATAATTGCAGATACGCATAAAATGGCATATGCTCCATACGATTCGCTGCTTACGGGATAAAAGGGATTTCTTAACCTGCTTGTACTCCCCCGCGTAAGTAGAGGAATCAATGGGGTCGCATCAAAAAAATCGTCATCTGGGAAAATGTCCGGATTTCTGGTCATATCGAACGGGATGTCAGTGGTCAGGTTTAGGGCCAAAGGTCTCGGCAGCAGTGTCTCTGGCTGTGGGCTTTTCGGCTGCTTTTTCTGCCCACTTTTCTTCCGTCTATCTGTTGCTCCTCTCCTTCGCCTGTGATGTTTCACATCCGCTCGTATCTTGCTCATCCACAGGGGCTTTGGAGCAGTATAATCGCCACCTGGCGTTTCCGTAATAGCGGGCATGGCAGAGTGAAACTTTTCCATCCTTTCTCCTGAATGCGCACTTTCGTTTTCGGTCGGTTTCAGCAGACGTCTGTGCTCCGATCGCCCCTTTTTCGCAGTTGTCATCCTCTGACTTTTGAAGCCGGTCGCGGTGATGTTATGGTCCAAAGGGGCGCCGGCTCCCCAGGACGCACCTGTAGCCTGTCCCTCCACACGCCCCGTCCGGCCGCCGGCGCAACCCCGCCGATTCCATTTACTTCGGGAAACGACTTGGTGCGAACCTTCGTCTCGGACACTCGGGTCGTATTTTATCGGAGGGATACTGTTCCTTAATCCACTATTATTTCCATGGCTTAAGACACAGACACTCCACATGAGAAAGAAAGTGATGTGAATGTATATCACCTGCATCGTGTAAAAATCGTATCGCAAGTCTAAAATCAACAGCGCAAGGGTTTTGTTGATTATTTTCACAATGCGACCACATGAGAGATGTCAGATACGAATAAGAGTATATTCACAGTAAAGAAGCGCTGCTCAGGCAAGTCATCAGCACTGCAAGATATCCGCAATACGTCGCCCGTGTTTGAATAATTCCCTTTATCTGTATGAAATGGATTCGGGTAGTTTCCTACCGCGTCCCTTTAGTTTGCATCCACTTTGATTTGGATGTTAGCATTTCTTACCGCACGGAGTTACCTCGCAGATGGCTTCGTAGCTCCAGAGTGGACGGGAGGAGCTTGTTGCCGGAAAAACACATTTCATGGTCCTTGGGAGACGAAGGGGTAACTTTCAATCTTTCAACCAGTGAGCCTCTTTCCCGTCCCTGGGGTCCCGAACCTGGAGAGATGGCGAGGACCTGCGATGGAACCCCGCACACGACCCGGATGACAGAGAGGAGAAGGAGCTCTCCCGGCGGCTACCCGGATCTGTCACGGCAGGTCCGTCAGCGGGAGCCCTCGCTGAGCAGAACACCCACTGTGCGCGCAGAAAACGCGGATATATAAGCATGCAGTCACACAAAGTAACGCAAACTGATCCATGTGTTTGGAATTTTAGGCAAACTTACAGACTTAAATTTATTAGCCTATGCAAAACTGAACAGTAAATTATAATTGCTATTATTCCAGCTGTGTTTACTTCTACGCAGCGAGAAAACGCTTTCAAATACCTTTTTCAAACACGAGTATCAATCTGTTATGCTGCATTTAATAAAAAAATACTATCTGATAAAAGGTATGTAATCACACGGCATTTATGAACAGGTTTCGCAACGAGGCTGCAGTTCCAACACTTTATCTTTCGTTTTTGAAAAGGACGCGTCCGACCACAGTTGATGGCTTTGACAAACCTAAAAACAAGTTTAATTGGATGGGCACGATCGGGCATGTTTTAGCCGCTCATATACGGTGACAAACAGTATATCATTAAAATGAAATCAGATCATTTTAATTTAAAATTCAGAGGTTTCGGTTGAACGATGTAACTGATAATAAACTGATCTCACCGGATGAAGGTACAACTGGTAAACAATATAGCCTAAAACTAATATACGATATATCTTATATATAATAATATATCTTATCCCCAATTAAACTGAGTCCTCAAATGAAGGTACCATATAAATCTAGATACTGTAAATAATAGGCTGAGGAAAAGTTAAGATTAGAGTATGTATACAGTAGTTTTAGACAAAAAACAAGTATATTTTCCAGTCGCTTTTCATTCCGAAAGTTAGTGACAGGGTTCCTGGGACCGCTGCCAATTGTACATTATGCATCTGGTATTACGAAAGTGCCAAATATTCTCCTCAAGGCCGTCTATTATTGGCAGAGAACCAGCTTTGGGAGTAAGGTGGGATGAGGGGGATTCCTTAAAATGCACAAATGCAGAGCAGCGTGCGAATGCACTTTACGTGTAGATCACCGTCCTGTATTTACTTTCGCACATTTAGTGTTGGTTCGAGTTCTGCCGAGCTGCTGTAGGTCACGGGCGTCACCTTGTGGTGAAAATGAGAAAAACTATGGGATGTAACATCTGTATAACGTTTGGCTTCATCTTACTACAAAACTCAATCTGTCTCCCCTGAAAAACAGAAGTGAAATAATCTTTTGAAAATATGGTGAATAAATAAATGTATTTCAGGCAAGCTGAACCTGAATATAATTCGGAATGTCTCTTCCTTTTGTGCAGCACTGTCGTACTGGGTGCTGGCAGTAGTGCGAGGCAGCCGCTCCTTCTGCATGCATTCGCCCCGCCGTCCCTGTCCCGCTGGTACGTCCCGGTCCCGCTGTCCTTTCTATGACTTTCTCTTTTGACGGGGATCCTCACCCAGAACTACCTTCATATCTTAGGGTGACCAGATAATCCATGTCAGGGAGGACACTTTGAGCTACTTCGGGTTTTACAAACTAATTTCAAACTGAAAGGCTCCTGTGTTCGGCTAATTAGTTCAGCTCTTCTTCTAGTGACACATGCATGATTATAGGAGACTGACCAATTAGCACACAGTAAGAACTCGGTGCTCAAGTGAAATCCAGGTCCTTTTAATTGAAATGGTAGTTTACAAATCCTGTCCTAGCTCAGAGTGTCCTCCCTGACATGGATTATCTGGTCACCCTATCATATCTGCCCCAAATAAACGCATGTCTGCTAAAACTGGAAGTCAGTGTTCATATTCATATTATCCCGTAACGCCCCTACTTCCTTCTTCCCCGTGAAAATGAAAAGGCCATATACCCCCCCCCCTTCGCAAACTAACAGTCAAATGGTTCTGCTCCCAAAATGTCCCCCGGCTCCATCAAAACGCTAAACGGGAATCAGGAGGCAAACGGATGAGTGGAGAGATTAGGAAGTAATGAAACCCACTTATGTAATGTTTAATACATGGACCAAAAAGAATTGTAAGTTCTGCCACAATTTTTTATCGTAATGTTTGTCACTAGGCATCCTGTACATCTTAGATAAATAAGTGTTAAGATACTCGAACTCAAAGGCAGAGTCGGGTTACATCCTTATGTTCCAGCACTATGTGTCGTGTTTCCTACCGAAACAGTAAGTCACTTAGCAGGCAGCAGTACGGGCTGGCTGAGACTCTGCGGGAGTCCCGGTTGTCAGTCGAGCTTCCAGCGCTGCGCAGCCCGCCTCGTCCCACCGGAGCTCGGGCCAGGGCTCGCTGCGTCGCCGGGGCGCCGGATGACAGGCGCCAGGCAAAAGCAGCAATCGGCTCTGATCGAAGCTGATGGGCTCTGATGAACCTGTATTTGCATTTGCAATATGCAGGGCTTTGCACTATAAAACGTGTCAATAAACATCATCGATACACTGGTGCGGTGAAACTGGTTTAAAAAAAAAAAAAAAACAGCAGAAAAGCGGGATCCGCGTGAAGCGGGCAAAATGATTACCACAGCGTACTAAGAATCTGTGAAGATGCCCAGGAAGCTGAAAGTGCTAAAAGGGGTGAGGCCAGCACCGGACCCGCTTAGGGCCGAGACAGCCAGCACCGCAGCGCCGCCTTGAACTGCATAGATGTGTAAGATTCGCTTTCTTAGACAGTATGGTTATAATAATATATATGTAAAGTTTAAAGATGTTCAGGTAAAAATTTTGAGGTAACGTTAGAAACCACTGTTCATCATACTATGCCAAACTGCTTCTTAAAAAGTGGCAGTGATCGTTCACGTTTAGCGGAAACCCAAGAGCCACCAGTAGGTGGCACACTAGTGCAGTGCAGGAGTCACTATAAATCCTGGCAATATTTTTCTATTAAGCAGTAGATAGCAGACAGGTCCTTCTGCTACATTACCTGGCGATGAGCCCATCAGAAAAATCAATCCCGCCCAGATTGTCTGTCTTAAAGGCAGTACAATGCAGGAAAAGTGCCAGTGAAGAAACTGAACTGATTTCTGGTTCATGCTCTCTGGGGTGTCTCTCAAAGTGTGGACTGAAGCACTACAGAGACACCTCACTGGAGCACAGCTCCAGCCAGCAGGAATACTGGAACTGCAAGAACTGTGCATGTATACCAGTGATGTCCATTAACATGGGAGCAGGAAGTTTTATAAGCGCACTTCAACACTGACAGAGAATTCACTCCACAGCAATGACACCGTTAACAGAAAAACTGTAATTTCTGTTTTATTAACAAAATAAATATCTGTTCCAGGACAAGAAAATACCAAGCAGCACAGAACCCCGAGAGAAGACTCTGTTCTGAGACGTTCCGGAAGTGAGATCCGCCTGTTAATCCGGGCACACGGCCTTGGTGTTCAGCACCTGGTAGCAGACGGTACTGCGGTCCGTGTCCTCTACAGAGTAGGCCGCCAGACACAGGTTCAGCCAGGGTCGTGTTGCTGGGGAGGAGGGAGGGGCACGAGTCACATGCCCAGCACACTGTACCAACCTTTAACCATAATCCTGCTTTCCACGGATCACTGGCACATCCGATGACTGCGGGCATGAAGCACACACACTACAAACAGCTTAAATGGGCAGAGATGCAGGTGCTGTAGCTGATTGGACTGCTGGCCTGTCACTCACTTCTCAGAGCAATCAGACTACACTGGCTTAAACAGCAGCCCAGAGGTTATTTATAACCTGCCAATGAACGCTATTAAAAGACCCCCAGTACTTAGAATCCGGTTCACTGTTTACACAAGCCTAAGCTCCACGGATGGTTGTAGCCATGACAGTGAATGTTACCCATAGTGCCCTCTGGTGGGCAGAGTCTGTCCATGGTGCCTTGTATTCTATCCTGCAACTGCTGGTCGGTCGCGGCGTTGTGGGCAGAAACACCGAAGAAGGTCTCCTGCAGAAGGAGGCTACAGTCAAAATGAAGCGAGAGTCTAACAGAGCTCCACAATAGAGCTTTACCTCCATAAGAAGGAAGCCAAAAGACAGTCAGTAGTGCGAGCTGACGGGGTGCCCTGCTCTGCGCTGGGCCAGTGTGTCTGTCCAGCACTTCTGTGTGACACGGACAGCTTCTGATACAGCGAGTGACGCTGCGGGCCCCGTGTGTCCGACAGCCACTCCTCCCGCTCTCACTCACCGCGTCCTGCCACAGCAGGGCTTGCAGGGAGTCTGTGCCGTCCTCCAACTCCAGCTTCATCAGCAGCACGTACTGGAGCAGCTGGACTCCGAGAGCTGGAGGAGACAGGTGCAGAGGGTGGCTGGGCACAGGGAGACTGAGAAAGATCGGCGCTCCAGGAGTCAGAGCACATTCACTTTAAATTCAACAAGATCCATCAAAACTGATAATCGCACTCATAGCTCCGAAACTTCATTTCAAGATCAAATGAGCCCGGCGCCAAATGAAAATTAGCACTGGGCCAAGTCTAAGATGCCAGTGTGATAAATGTGAGCAGAAAAGACAAAGAACTTTGACTCCAACAAGTGTGGATCTTTTACTGGATTACAGAGAGGAGGTTTGAGGAGAAGGTGAGGTGTGAGGACGCTGACGTGTGAGGGCGCTGACGTGTGAGGGCGCTGACGTGTGAGGGCGCTGACGTGTGAGGGCGCTGACGTGAAGTCATCCTACCCTCAGCCACCCTGTTCTCATCCCACTCCTGAACATCCATGGAAAGGGGCTGCCGGCATTCCGAGCGCGAGCAGTTTCTGCACCTGGCAAAGAACGACAACTTAAGCTCAAGTGAGCATGGAGTGAGCTAATGATTAATATGAATGAAATGCAATATCCTTCACAGAGAATGTAAATATGATGTGATTATTAAATGCACCTGTAACAGCTCTGTGTAAATCCAGATTAGTATTGCATGATACCAGCCCTGCGTGTGTGTGTCTTGAAATGGGCTGGCATCCATCCAGCTCTTCTCCAAACTCCATTTGTCTTGTTTAGTGTTTCTGTTATATTTCCTGCTTGTCTTACACCTGTTTGATTTTATGCTGCACCTCTGTTCTTTTAAATGCAATGAATGATTTTGATTTGATTTGATCCCTGCCTGTGTTCTGGCACAGGTTTAGCCACACCACAGTATTGGCTCATGAAGGATGGGATTGTGGGTAGTCAGGAGTTCAGTACAAACCCATAATGCCGCGCCGAACCGCGGAAGACGACAGGTACTGAGAAGTCCAGGAAGGCCATCTTGCCATCATGCGACCTCACGGGGACGACGGCCCTGCTCTCTGAAATCTGACACACCTCCTCCAGCGCCGCTCCTGCAGTAGCGGAACGTTCCGGTTACCCGTCCTAGCCGCAGAGGCGTGCCAGTGAGGAATATCTGTGGGTGCTCAGCTTACCTTCCAGGAAGATGAAGCTGGTCTGGTCGTTGTGGGAGCTGCTGGGGAGGTGCACAGCCATGTCGCGGCCCGGCTCTGTCGACTCCAGGAAACCGGTTAAGAGCCACGGCTCGCTGCTGAAGGCGGTGGTGCCGACAGCCCTGCGGAGGACGTCGGCTATGGCCTCCTCGTCTGGGATGTCCTGTCTGGGCGGCACGGCGGCACAGGCAGGACGTTCAGTGCCGATAGCCTATTCCTACATCCCCACTGTCTTACACACCAGTCAAGCAGTGAGTTCTGCTCCAGTCACTGATTGGACCACAGTGAGGACAGTATGGGGTATTTGACCATACATGCCTCTGCAATCCACTGTGGGTTACAATGTGTAGGGCTTTGCACTATGAGCAGTGTCAGTGATGCAGTGTGCTCAACTCACAGGGCTTTGCACTATGAGCAGTGTCAGTGATGCAGTGTGCTCAACTCACAGGGCTTTGCACTATGAGCAGTGTCAGTGATGCAGTGTGCTCAACTCACAGGGCTTTGCACTATGAGCAGTGTCAGTGATGCAGTGTGCTCAACTCACAGGGCTTTGCACTATGAGCAGTGTCAGTGATGCAGTGTGCTCAACTCACAGGGCTCTGCACTGGGGGCAGTGGAGCTTCAGACACTGGTAGAGTCTCTGCGGCTGGAAGGTCTTGAGCTGAGCTCTCACATGAAACATCCTGGGAGGGGTGGACTTCCTCACGGAGGACAGCAGCACCTGCTCCAAGGCGTGCTCACATGTGCGTTCTGCACCACAGGATGTTTCTTCTGTTAAAAAGCAGTGAGAAATTCAGTTTAAAGACTCATTATTTCTTACCTATCACATTGTCAGAATCTTCATCTAAAACAACGAGACAAGTACTGTTATTTTAGTGAAACACCAACTATATTATTTTGGGTTACAACTAAAATACTAAAAATTTGCCATCTCATGCTGTAGAGGTGTAGCAGTGTGGGGACACGATTCCAGTCAATTTTCTAGATTATTGTTCTGTGCAGTTTAGCTCCCAGAACATTCTCACGTACCCAAAGACTCCGGGGGCGTAGCCCACACATCCAAAAGGGAGGCGTCCGCAATGTCATACGACGAGGCGGAGAGCGACTCCAGAGCACTAAAAAGACGACATGAAGAGGAAAAAAAGAGTGTGAGAGAGACAGAGAGAGGGGATCTGCGAGTGGCAAAGCAGTTTAAAAATGAGGCCACAGTCACAGAAGGCAGATTCACAGAAGGCAGATTCAGGTTCATACTTGATTCGGTGAGGCTGCTGTCTCTCAGGCTCCACGGTGCTTATTATCACATAAAATCTGTAATTCTGCAGGGGGGCATGGAGGCTGAGGGCAGCACTGCCTCACAGCCCCTGTGCTCTGCACTCAGGTTTGCTCCCACAGTGCGAGGACCTTTGCTTACATTCACTACCATTTATAAATTGCCCTTAGTGCAGAATGGCACGTGCCCTCTTCCCCACCAAGGTGCCCTTCAGCCTTGTGCCTTGTGCCGCCTGCCATAGGCGCTGGGCCGCCCTGGCGTCCCCCTCCACCCACCCATCCATCCATCCACCATCCATCCATCCATCGGAACACACAGGAGCCCCACAGCTTGTACAGGGGGCACCTAGACAGAAGACCTTCCCAGAAAACACCAGGAGGTCTGGATGGGATGCCAGTCTATCAGAGGGCAAGTTCATCTAAAATATAAAATAATTGTTCTCTTTAATTTAACTGTTTATCAGCATGTATAATTATTTTCTGTTCTGGGAAATAATTACATAACCATAATAATAATAATTAAATAAGCATTTTTGGCATCATTCAAAGTGTTTCGTTATTCTGGGTAGGAAATTCCAAAAATTGCAGATGTTACCAAAAACAGAGTAAAAGTATATACCACTCTGTTCTGGACGGTCTCTGTGCTACATCAAACTGTGCTACATCAAACTGTGCTACTGGACACCCTACAATCTGTTTTCTGTCCCACAAGGATTCTACTAATTGTAACACCACATGCATCCTGGCTAATTGTCAAACAGCAACTTAATTTCAATGCTTTGAGACTTAAAGTCGTGGATAAAAATGGCTGCCGAAGATTAAGCATGAGAGATGGAGATGGTATCTGCTGAAGACCCAGCCGTGTCGCTGCAGTGGCCCGTTTCCCAGGCCACTCACCACTGGAGCTCCTGCAGATCCGGGCTGTCTTTGGGCAGGATCCGCAAGCCCCGGCCGTATGAGGTGCCCCCGTGCAGGTGTAAGCACAGCTGGTCTGACTTGCCACTAGGGGACGCTGCAGATGTGGTCTGAAGCACCGCATGCAGATTGTAGATGCGCAGGTAGGTCCCGGGCTAAGAACACAAAGAGAGACACAACAGGGTGACGTCTCACAACACGGGGGGTCTTTATCCTAACAGACTGGCTAACAAGCAGAACACACTAACCCGGGGGTGGGATTAGACTGGAGGTCACCGCGGGACAGTCTGGAAGTGAGCAGGGTGTGGACCTCGGCCTCATCAGCGGCTCAATTTGAATCATGAGCGCTGATTTTTATCCCACATATTTAATACAAACCATAACCGAGGGGTGACAAAACAAATCCTGCCGTTATTATCTAATACTCCTCTGATGGATTGTATTCGGCTCATTTTATTAATATTCAGAGGATGCCATTTGAAACAGGTCGTGCTTTGAAAATATCATTAGCATATTTGTATGTTTGGCGAAAAGGACATGATGAAATCTTTGTCTCTAGGCTTTCATCATGATCGTATCACTGGGAAAAAAATGCATTATTAAAATTTTACATTCATGTTGTTCCCTGTTAATTAGTCTGTTAAGAGATGCAGTGACGCCATCGGCCAGCAGGGGGAGACATGGCATTAAAGGAAAAGATGTCATCATTATGCAGTTAATAAAACACAATTATGATTGCAGAAAGAAAGAAAAAAACAATTAACTCCAGCTTAGCCTTCCACTTTCATGCTGAAAGACTGCTGAAGCATTCATCAGTAGCCCCTTGAGCCACTGTTACATTCCTGGGGAAAACAGCCTCACCTCTTATTAACATAAAATAGGAACTAATGTGGAGTCAAAAAGCCAAAGAGCTGGTTTCCTTATGCTGCGTCTCTGACACCCAGGGCATTTCATCCTGTTCCTGGCAAAGGGACGCAGGAACACGAGGAGCAGCATCTCTGCCCCGCGCCCCGCCGAGGCCACCTGGCTGTGGGGCTGAAAATGACATCCCTGACACCCTCGGGGCAGAGCCAGCCAGGCGGAGTGGGAGGGAATTCAGCTGACACAGCGCACTGCGAGTGTGCAGGAGGACCGAGAACTTCTTAATGTATGAAGAGGGCCAATTTAACAGCACGTCAGCGAGGCGCCGTTTGAGAGCAATTCCATTCAATTTATTTTTATATAGCGCCTTTCACAACCAGAGAGAGAGAAAGAAAGAAAGCTTGCACAAGTGTTTCACTCACCTGTACTCTACCAAGTAATGTGACAAAATGAGTTGATGTGATGTGAGACCTGAATGGACAGCAGACAGGAAGCAGACACTGTGCCTGATACAGTGCGTCTCAAACTGCCATCTAAACGAGGCTTCTAGGAGACACTGGCCAGTATTTCATGATTTAAATTGGCCAATAATTTGCCATTTTCACAAGTACAATGAAATGCTTCTTTTCACACATCCCATCTCACTCTCCTTTGAAACACACACACACACACCCCCACAGGATTGTAATTATATCTTGTGGACTATATGTGGGGACTTTCCATTCATTTCTAATCATGACATGACGACCGTAACCCCTACCCAGCCCTAACCTTAACCATAGGTAACTTGGCAAAATACAAGACTTGTGGCTTTTTTAGTATTTGATTGCACACACACACAAACCCACAAAAGGTATAGGGCCTGAGCCCAGAGTAAGGCCATTTATACGGCACCTGGGAGCATCTTTAGGGGTTAAGGGCCTCACTCAAGTGCGGGAGAGGCTCACAATGCTGCCGAGACCTCGGGATTCTGTCCGCAGCTGTTTATTACTCTCTGCTTTGCTCTATTCATTACTCTCTGCTTTGCTCTGTTTATTACTCTCTGCTTTGCTCTATTTATTACTCTCTGCTTTGTTCTGTTTATTACTCTGTGCTTTGCTGTTTATTACTCTGTGCTTTGCTCTGTTTATTACTCTTCCCTGTGTCCAGACTCAGTGGCCGACGGCTTCAGTGAGAAGCTGAGCAGTGTTATTGCGTCACAGTATATGAGATTCCACACAGCGGGCGGCGCAGAGGTGGGCAAATAGACAAGGCGAGTGCCGCTTTTGGTCCGTGCTCACGGCCCAGAGAGGACACGCTTCTGTACTTCACAATGACCAAGAATAACTTCCGCTCTCTGAGAAGGACGAGGAAGAGCAGAGGCTTTCCATGGCCGCTGACAGAGCCTGGCAGTCACCGTCTCATGCGAGACTGAAAATGTGAGCTCTGACTCTGCAGGTGTCCTCAAGCTAGCAGAAGCATCCTTGCTGCCAGAGGCAGTTGGGCGGCACTTACAGGAAGCTAATTAATACACCGTCCAACAGCTACAACCTAACAGGCACGTGAAAGACCAGCTCTCACAGCAAGTGTGACCAAAAGCATGCTTTGCCAATTTGGAATGGTCACATTTTCCAAACAAAGAGGGAGAATCTGAATACACTTCTGAGCAAAGCAGTTGTTTTTCTAAATAACGTATTCTATAACCACCAACATGGCAAAATTCAGATTTTCATTGCGTCGCTAATGCTCCGATGATTCAGTATTCCGTACATAAACAAAATACTGTTCAGGTCAACACAGACAGCCCAGTGGCACTCAGAATCTACCATTCACCATGATTCCCTGCTGTCTTTTCTAACAGAACTTCTTACAATCAATGTGATGAGGCGGTCCCCATACTCTCACTGCTGCAGTTCCATGTCCTACTAAAACATTGACTTTTCAAGATGAACCAAAAAAAGCTTCATGCATTATGGATAGAGTTCGGGTGTTAAACTCCCAGATAGACTACAGTGATAAAGAATGCTGCCCATGTGAGAAACAGCTCCCAAAATAGAACAGAAACTGTAAATGCCGCAGAGATTAAAGTACCATAACGTCGCTGTCACAGACCTTTTCCAGAGGCATTATTTTCTTGTCACTCTCATGCCATGTGTGTGTAATTTAATCTTACCTGGTAAACCCACATTATAATACAAATATAAATCTACTTTTCTGTGTAACACACACACACACAAACACACACACACTCACACACACACACACACACACACACAATCCATACATCACTAAGATAAAGATTACAGTGATACTAAGTTTGCTGAATACAAAGATGGAGGAGAGTTCTAGAAAAGGTTTGCAGGGGTTTATTTTGAAGTTTTACCTGGGATAGACTCTAGACAGGATGCCAGTCCATCTCAGGGCATCGGGATGGGGTACACACGCACATACATGTAGGGATGGGGTACACACGCACATACATGTAGGGATGGGGTACACACGCACATACATGTAGGGATGGGGTACACACGCACATACATGTAGGGATGTATTGATACAATTTTTTCAGGCTGAGTACGAGTATTGATGCTGGCTTTCAGGTACTGACCATTACCTATATCAGTCAGGGCTGTGCGATGTCTGTGTGAAATAATCTGCCAATTCCATCATACTCCTTATGTTTACTTTTTGGATGTTTAATTTGGTTACTAGTGTAGTATGAATTTTGTTGGTAACTTTGAAGTATTTCCACAGCACATTTATATGTCATTACGTGGTATCGGTTATCAGTATTGGCACAATTTCACGAGGGCGAGTATGAGGACATGATGAATAGAGGCATGGTATTGGACCCGATACTGATATTAGTATCAGTGCATCCCTATGTATACCTACACAGAGCGGAAGCCCGATTCAGCTCCCACCTCTTGGGTTGAGATTTTAATGGTGCAATTCTCCATGCCACCCTTTGTGGGGAGAATATGGTTAATATGGCATGAGGCATTCAGCACTTTGGCATCCTAAAGATGTTAATGCGGTCAATGAGAAGCCATCCGTTCACGTACAGCTAAGAAAGGAACTGGACAATCGCTTCCACCTATAAAGGTTCCCACACCACGCACAGAGATGGGATTTCTTCACGGAAACAGCAGAAACGATGCATTTAATCTAATTGTATGACTTTAACAGATGGCATTCGCCTACTGCTCTCACAAAGACGGAGAACACAGAGGATAAATGAAGCCGATGTGTGAATGTAGGTCTACACAAACGCTCTGAGCACAGAAATGAGGCTCCCATGCAGGAATAAACTATAAAAATCATTTTTTTTGCCTCTTGGAGCAAATGAAGGATAACAGATCATGTCTTACCATGCATTATGCAAGACTGGGGTGGGCTTAGCAGACTGAGGTATTGCTCTACAACTGTTATTAACAGGCATTAAAGACAGCAAATCACCACGATGGCTTAAAGATGTCACAATCAGTGCCACAAAAAACAGTAACTCTAAACACACACACACACACACATACACACACACACACATATATATACAAAATCAGGAAAGATGAACCACAGCCAATGTGTCCCAAGACCATCTGGGCTTACTGCAGATCAGCAGCTGAAAGGGACCAGCAGTAAGAAGTGAAAGAACATGTCCACACCTGGGAGTTCTGAGAGAGAAGAGGGGGAGAGAGAGAGACAGAGAGAGCTGGCGAAAATGAGGCAAAGGAGGAACCCCCCCACTTACTCTCTGAAGGATCCCACGTGGTAAGTTAGGGGAGTCCTAATTATTCATACAGAGTGCTTGGAAGATAAAGGATCTCATTGGTCCCTTTGGTAAGTAGGCAAACAATCTCACTGGTTCCTTTGCCACATATTGATGAGGCTGTGCAACATAGTGTAGCATTAAATGCTTCTGGTGAGTGTAGCAGCAAGAAGGAATTAATTTCCTAAAGTAACACGGCCAATTAAAGCAGATGCTGCCCTCCAGCCGGGAGCATATACTGCACTGGTCCATGCTGACTGCGATTTGTGTGCTGAGCTCCTCTGGCAGTTAGCACGCACTGC